CAGATTGGGTAAAATTAAAATAAGGCTGCTTATTTTATAAACTAAAATAAAGCCTATTTGCTGCTTTTCTTTTCACATCTCATACATCGTGGCACACTCTTCTGTCTTGATGGAATAATTTCTACATCCTGAAACCAATGACAATCAAAAAATGCAGAAAAAAAATACTTTTTTTCTAGAAATCTCAAGGAATTCCAAAATAAGGAAATGAAAATTGATTATTGGAAAGAACAATTACTGTTAATAACATATTTAATCCTTGGTTGTGGGGGAGAGGAAGAATAAGAGAGGCAGTAAATATTCATTATGTTACAAAATCCAGGCAGTTCAACTATTTGAATTTTAAAGTATCCATAAGTTTTGATGATCTCCCAATCACATTCTTTCCCAGCTAGGATCCTTGAGATGTCAAAAAGATTCCATTTCTTACTTTCCTTAAGAGAATTGGAAGATATTGTGTTGGGAAAAACTAGTCAAAAGTATGAACTTGTGTCGTATGTTTGGTACAATATTATTCTGTTAAAATATTGTTAGTGTAGGTTTAATTTGTTGCCTGCCAAATTCATTAAGTATAATACTTACTCCTAAAAATGAAATATTTTTTAAAAAACCCTTAAAACAATTTTTAAAAAAAACCTTTCAAAATTCAGCCTGCCCCACCCCCACAACTCTTTTTTATCATCCATCACCTAGTCATGATTATATAGCAAATTAGTTTTACGTGACTCGGTGAAGGTTGAGCACACATGAAACACAAATAAGTCCACAAAAAAACGAAGCAGACTAAGTATGCAGTCTGGATGTACAATTACACTTCAAAGTCAATGTTGCAGTAGGGATTCCCAGCTGTCATACTAGAAATGATTGATGATTGTAAAACATTTCTAATTTGAAGATTCTGTGAAAATAATTTGATGTTCTTCTAGCATTTTTTAAAAACATTTTTCATTGTCAGTTACCTAAATATCACAGCTGTTGCCTCATTCCATTATGTCCCAAATTTGCATGAACAAAGCTAAACCATCTAAGAGACCTAGATCAGTGTTTCTCAACCTTAGCAACTTGAAGATGTTTGGACTTCAACTCCCAGAATTCCCCAGCCAGCATTCGCTGGCTGGGGAATTCTGGGAGTTGAAGTCCGGACATCTTCAAGTTGCCAAGGTTGAGAAACACTGACCTAGAGACCACAGGGCCCTGAAGGTAACTGACAAAACTGACTCCAGGTAAGGTAGCCACTGAGAGAATATATAATCTGTTAAACAATCTGAACACAAGGAGAAATCAAGCTCTCTCTAACTTCCTCTCTTTTCTTGAAACTGAAATTGCAAGGAGGAATTTAGGAAGCAAATGCATTTTAGGCTGGTACTGTGTACAGGTAGTCTTTTGAGTTACGACCAAAATTTTTATTGCTAAGTGAAACATTTGTTAAATGAGTTTTGCCCCATTTTATGATCTCTTTTGCCGCAGTTGTTAAGTGAATCATTATAGGTGTTAAGTTAGTAACATGGTTGTTAAGAGAATCTTAACCCATTGACTTTGCTGGTTCAGGTGGTCACAAAAGGGGAATCACATAACCCTGGGACACTACAATGGTCATAAATGTGACTCAGTTGTCAAACATCTGAATGTAAATCATGGCATCATGGGGATGCTGCAACAGTCGTGTGTGTGAAAAATGGTCATGTCACTTTTTTCAGTGCCGCTGTAACTTTGAATGGTCACTAAATGCTGTAAGTCAAGGACTAGCCGTATTTATTTTTTACCTACTGTATTTCCAAATCAGGCCAGACTAAAAGTAAAGGAGGCAAATGAGAAATAACGTGTGTGTGTGTGTTTGTGTGTGTGTTTGTGTGTGTATATATACACAATATATACACACACAAACACATACACACAAACACATACACACAAACACACACATACTATAGCTGGAAGATATTTTGGACAGGTGAATAAAAGTGTGGAAGCCTGAGGAAAAACTATGGTTGAAATTTTCCCTTAGCCATAAAGGTTGTGTATTATTATCTTAAACCTTCATCAATATTACAAGGTTGTTATGAAAACATGGGAGAGTGAGAGAACATGTATTTCATCTTATGGTTCTGAAAGAAATATAGCAAATGCAATAATAGTTACTTTTTAAATTAATTGAACTAATAATGCATCTGTGCTTATCATTCTTCAACAGTGGACAGCCATGTAACACTGAAGAACTGATATGAAAGCAATTCAGAAGCCTGCAGTTTTTTGAAGAGCATCTGTTTTATCAATGATATACTATCTCTGAATACAGACATTCGACTAAGAACTGTATTGATTAATAACCGCTGACAGGCTGTTCTAATCTATATTCAAAGCTATCAAAAGGTAGCAGTTACTATCAAAGCACACTGTAATAATGGATTTATAGCATGAAGCAGCATTTCTTTGCACCTCTGAATAGTCTATCAATCCATTTCATTTTATTCTCGATTTGTATTACACATTCTAATGTGCTCCATTCTCATAAATCATCTCTATTTAAAACTTAACCCGCGTGATCAAATTTGCAGGAGGTTCATTGATATAAATTCTTTTTATTTCAATCAAAAATAAAACCCTCACTTCTTCCCAACTATTTGGCACTTGCCTCACATACCCAATATTGGCCTAAATTCATCCTTATGGGAGCGCGTTCCTTCTCCTGCTGGATACACACCTGTCTTTGCAAGAGCTGATTTCTGAGCTCAGACTCGACTCTCAGAACTGAAAGAGCAAACTCCAGCCAACAGGAAATGGGAGTTGAGACACACTGTCCACACATTATATAAANTAAATGGGACCATTGATTTCAGACACACTTTTCTAAATATCTATGTTTGAAAAGTTCTAATTTAATAAGGCTAAGACAGTATAAATAGGCAGCAAGGCCATTTTAAGAATATTATTCCCCATCTTGCTTGGCAATACAGAGCTACTTAAAGCACATTGAGACTTTTTTTTTTTAAAGAAACAAAACCTAAAACAAGTTCAACGTCCATCCACTTTGGAAAAGAGCCAAACTGAACAGCTTCTCCACCAGCCTAGAGATCTCTAGGCTTCTCCCAAAATTCCTAATTGGCACTTTCATTTGGAAATTACGGTCCCAAGTTTGATAACTCGGAACAGCTGATAACAGGAAGATCTGCTCAGCATTAGCTTTGGCCAAAGACTGATAGCTCCATTTCCCTCAATTATCAAACATGGCAAGGAACATTAGAGAGACAATGTGAAATAGCAAATATAATACAGTTGATTTTTCTTATTTTTATTACATTTATAAGTCTTCTCTAACTTCAATGTGTGGGGGTGTGTGATAGTTTATATCATCTTTCTCGCGGTATTCTACATAAGAGGCTGGGTTTAAGGGAACTGTACTGCAAATATTCTGGAGAGCACTCAGTTTTACAGAATATAGAACAACAGAGTTGGAAGGGACCTTGGAGGTCCTCTAATCCAACCCCTACTCAAGCAGGAGGCCCTACACCATTCCAGACAAATGGCTATCCAGTCCCTTCTTAAAAATCTTCAGCGATGGAGCTCTCCTTGATAAGTTTCCACACATTACTTCTTGTTCTGTCCTCAGGTACTTTGGAGAATACATGACAAAACACTTCACCAAGACACACAAATTCATTTGTTTAATTTTTGCCATTTTGCTATTACTTATTTACACTAATTTTCAGGGCCATAGCATGGTGGATTGCTTAAGAGAAAAAATATTCCTATAAAGACTTGCACTGAACCCAGGCAAATTAAATTGAATGCTCAAATTATCTTGAAGAGAGATGGTAATTATCTCTATTATCAAAATGTTCAAAGTGATTCAAGAAAGTCCAGCCAGAGAATCATTTTCCTGTGTGGCTCAGAAATGTCCCCTTTAACATAGGCTGCAATAAAAATGACCTTTTTAAGTACAACCAGCCGGGATTAATATGTACTTGTGTCATTGAGTTCTACTGGCTGATGAAGAAATTTCCATACTAGGATTCAACACCATCTATTTTGGGAGGAAAGCTACAGATACAAAGAGAAGTAGGTGAAAAGTTCCTAATTCCCTTAAAATGTTTTTTAATCTTCTTGAAATTCTCTACATGTTTTTGCAGCCCACAAGATGACCCAATGCTTGTATGAAGCAAAGACTCTTAACATACTGTAATTCACTCCTTTTAATTTTCTATTTAAAATTTTGATCTATATAAAATTAATTGCATGAATACCACCACCACCACCACCACCCCCGTAGCACCAAAGTGTTTCTGTGGCAAAGGATTTGCTGGTGATATCACCATTGCCTGGGGGATGCCCAGTTGGGAGCTCCTTTGACATCTCGGTGAAGTTGCCCACTATAACTGTTACTGAAGGAACCTGGTGGCTCATGGAGGTTAGAACGCTGGGCTGATGATCAGCAGGCTCACGTGTGAGAACCATTGCTGGTGAGGTGAGCTTGTCATGAGCTCCAGCTGACACAGGAGTTTGAAAGTGAGCAACTGCCAGTAGATTAATGGGTAATGGGAATACATCAATATACCGTATTTTTTGGAGTATAAGATGCACCTTTCCCCCCCAAAAAGGATGAAAATCTGGGTGCATCTTGTACACTGAATACAGCATTTTTGGCCTCCCGAAACCCCACCTCCGTGAATTTCGTTTTTCTCAAAAATGGGTGCGCAAAGGGTTTGGGTGGTTTGCAAAGTGCTTCTGGGGGCTGGGGAGAGCAAAAACGAGTGAAAAACAGGCCATTTGTTGCTTGTTTTTGCCCTCCCCAGCCCCCAGGAGCACTCTACAAGCCTCCCAAAGCCTACGCATGCCCAGGTCTTTGCAAAAAACAAGGTGTGCAGAGGCTTTGAAAGGCCTGCAGAGTGCAAAAACTTTTTTTTTTTAAATTACCTCTTCAAAATCTTGGTGTGTCTTATTCTCCGGTGCGTTTTATAGCCCAAAAATGCGGTAAATAATTGTTCTTGGTTTTAATGCGGGAAATTAGTAATGATTTGGAGGGTGAAATAGTCATGCTTCAGCAAAAGCAGTAGCACAAATAAGTAAATAAGCTTTTTTCTGGCCACTGCAGAAATTATAAACCTGCCCCCCTCTCGAAATTTATTTAAGCTAAAAAATAAAAATAAAAAAATAAAATATCACCATCCACCGATGTAGTAATTATTCCAGTCATGTTATACCATGTGGCATAGCCATGTTGGTACTACCACTAATTTATTTTGCTTTCTGTCTGAGACCATGGACAGTCTTTGATTAGTCAGGATATAGAAATACAGGTATAATCAGATCAAGGGTAGCTACAAAATGAAAACACATGCAAACAAAGACCCCTGACACAGAATGTCAGCCTTGTGCAGCTTTCTAAGCAAACATTTAAGAAAAAAAAATCAAATTTGTAGACACTTTCAATTAAACAGCTGTTTCTGGGGATTGGCTTTAAAAAAAACATCAGACAGCTCACTTCCCCTTCAAATACCACAATTGCCATCTAGAATAGTATCTTGCTTGCCTTGCCAAACGACAGAGACGGTAACTCATACTGCAAACATTTTTTGATGATTTGGTAGCTTTGGGCAAACTTTAAAACTGCTTCAGCAGCTAATCTTAGCTGAAAATTGGGATATATCTAGAATCAATAAATGTTAGGGATATATGACTTCAAAGACTTGTATTACCATCTCCGCAGAATACTCTTTGGATGAATGGAAGCCCCATGCATTTTATCTGTGTTACAGCAGACAGCAAGTCTCTTCTGCCAAAGCTTAACCAAATTGCCAGAAATAAAGAATATACAGAGTGTCAGACCTGGAATCCATCTTTTACATTGGGCCTTCAGGCCTGCCACAATTTCTACTGTGGGGAAAAGGGAGGAGGGATTATATGGAGTAAGGGTGATATATAGTCAAAATAACATTCTTTTCTCGGAGAGTCAAGGACATCTTGACCTGCAGCTGCCGATGGGGTGACTGGCAGGTATCTCCAGTTTTGGACAGTGCCTGATTGGACCATGTGATGGACATATAGGTGCAGGGAAGGGACTTGAACTTTCACTTGGGTGAGGAAAACTTGGAAACTTTCAGATTTGGATTTTCCCAGACGTGTCAATATGACATCTCTAATTAAATGAAACTTTGAGGAAACTCAAGCCTCTGAGTCTTCTTTTTTGGGGGGTGTTACATGGAAGCATGACACATAGCATATTGGCAGATAAAATGCAAGTTGAAACTACTTTATGCTGGATGAAATAGTCCTAGACAGGGTTAGGATAAAAAGTACTGTAGCAGTAAAACTAGCACTGTTTCTTTTACTTAAAAATCATAAAATTTTCTTTTGGAGAAATTTGCTTTTCTTGCCCAATGGACTATATCCTGCAAGAGATATACCATTCCACAACAGGAGTAATTGGCACTGGGCACAGAATCTTATACTCTCACCATCTTACTTTCATTTATCTAAACTCTGATTATCGTAGAAAATAGATAACACAATGTGTAATACACAGTATCTCTAAAGTTGTGTATGGATCTCTAATACCCTATTTGTTTTCAAAGTAGCCTAACAAAAGCAGATTTGAAAGAGAATTATATGAATTCAGTATAAAGAGCAAATGACATAATTGTCCATAAAACTTAGATGGTAAAGCCAAGTGCAACTATGAACTTAATGGGCAGCTTTCAGCAAATCAGTTATCCATTTATATCCGGTTAAACATGGCTAAGGAATTTTGATTTCATTCCTTTGATGAAAGTTGGGATACAAATTGCATGTTTTCTAAACATTTTTCAGGAAAGAATTATGCAAATAATTTATGCATAATTTTTCATGCAATAAACACATTCATTACAGCATTTAATACGCATAAGAGTTTTCAGGAAAAATTTCCTGTGCAAATGAGTATGAGTTCAATAAGCATTTTATCTCAACATTTGTAATTATTGCTTTTGTTACTATAAATAATACAATATTTGATGAGAGAGAAAGGGAGCCATGAAATTCCCACTTCTCATTTTTTAAAAACAATCACCTAAGAATATATACTATTCTGAATTCACAAAAGCTGCCTGAAGAGAAACATTTTCATAGAAAAAAATTACCCTGGAAAATGTTTTGGTACACATTTCTGGATATAAATATTGACAACAAATAAAGGGGAAATATTCTTTTGATGACTTGATGGTAAACAGTTGATGATGGAACCAATTACTTAGAAAGTAACAGAATCATGTAAGGGTTATTTTTTACA